AGTCTGTTAACTATGGCCTATTTTTGCAAAAATGTCTGGCAGGATAGCATACACAGATGCTGGCTACTGGAGTGCATTGAATCATGACCGTTTTTCAACGACTTAACCTGATAGCGTGAAACTCCCCTGACCGGAAAAGGGTTAAAATAAGCTTGTTTTGAAATCTTTCCAACAAAATTTACAACCTGTGATATATGGTTATTTTCAGACATTGCCAAAGAAAAAGAAGATTTAATCCGAAGGAGTAAAGAGAATAGCAACTTAGCCATTCCATTATTAATGAAAAATAAAATACCAGAGGGTTTTGAAACTGATGATAAATTGGACACTTCTCTCAGACCTAATGAGGTAAGTTAGAATTCAGTAGTGAATTTAATGCAAAATTAATGAAAATAAGAGAATCTGCAATTTATTGTTTAAGGTGCCAGAGTATCATGCAGGTTTGTCATAACATTTATGTCTGGGTATTTAACAAAATGGCCAATTACTAAATAAACTATAAATCAATATAATAAGCTTTCATATTTTTGTTTAGGCCTCTGCAGCTGACTATGATGAGGTACCTATAGAAGAATATGGTATGGCAATGTTAAGAGGAATGGGATGGAAACCTGGTGAAGCTATTGGAGGAAGATTTAAACAGTATGTTATTATCATTAAGCTTGTGTTTGGTTCAACCATATATTCATGAGTCCTCAAATGTAAGCCTACCATTTCTTGGCAATACAACCAACATGCCAGTGACCTGCAACCTGAATGATGCTATGTACTCTAGGGGAGAATAGAGAGGTCTAATCATAGGCAGACCTACACATATTGGCTAATGATCAAATGCAAGTCACATTGAAACACTCGTCTATGGTATTCAAGTATTAGTCAGGGCCTTCATGATGTAGTAATTGTTGAGCTTCCTATCAAGAGTTGTTAGAGTTCAATTTATTTATATGTTCACATTTGTAATCTATTTCCTACAACGTGTAAATGTTTGTGTTAATTACCGGGCTACCATAAATCCTATGGCTCAACCTATTGGCACTTGAGTTTACATGGGTGAGAATGAATTTGAAACTAGGAAACAATAAAATTCATTTGTGTGACATCTATCACCTATCTTACTGCTATTCATATGTAAATAAGTGATGCTATATTATACATTGTAAACACAACTGCAATCAACATTTCTTGTCAGTGACTGAGATTCATTCATTTTCATTCAGAATTGCCAAACCTGTTGATGCTGTATTGAGACCAAAAGGTCTTGGTCTAGGTGCAGATAAGAGACAGCTTGATGCACTTTCTGACAAGAAGAAGAAAAAACTGAAACCTGGTGACAAAGTGGAGGAAGAGGAACCCCAAGGATTTGCTAGGGGTGTTGGTGTATTGGTCGCAAGTGGGCCACATAAAAACCTATATGGAAAGGTATGTGGTACATTTTATTAGAGTATCATAATCATAAATTTGTTGAGATCTATATTTGAATTTACTATTCTGGTTCATTATAGTGATTATCTCACAAGTTTCATAACTAAAGAACAAAGATGGCATTTTGCCCATGTGGTCCAGTTCACAACAAGGATGTTGGCTTATGCAAAAGTTCTGCATCTCATATTATTGATCCATAGACCCTAGGGTCTATGATTGAGCAAAGGAATTAAATTTTGTGTTCTGATCCAGCTTCTAGCTACTATTATAATCAAAATTTGGTCTCAGTTGGGAGTCATGGCAAAACTGGATTGTATGACTTATATCATGTATTTTAATCTAGTAAGTTGCATGGTGCTTTAAAATATTTATGTTCATGTCAGACTCTAGCGCCTTTAAAAATTGCTGGTTGAATATCAGTCATCTTTGATGGCCTATTATCTTTCTTGTAATTTCATACAACACTGAATTGTCCTTTTGTATCATATGCAATTCAGTTAGGAGTAGATACTGGTGTTGCCACATTTACAAAATCAAAAATTCATTTAATATGTAGCATTGTTTCTCTTCAGATAGAAGGTGTTGATGAAGATAATTCTAGAGTTTTAGTCAAATTTGCAATTAGTAACCAAACTGCAAACATCAGTCAGTATGCTGTGAAGATTGTGGATAAAAAAGAATACAGAAAATACTCTCTTGATATCAGTAAGTAAAATTTCTTAATTTTATTAATTTTGTTTGACCTTGAAAAATCCAAGTTATGTGCAAGTATTCAATAAGGCTGCAATGATGGGATGAGGCGTCAATGTTACTGTACTGTTAAGCCATAATACACTGTCCTCCCAAAAAGACAGCTTGAAATAGCATGTTGTGATTTGCGTACATGAATATTCTCATAATATTCTCCATTGACCGTGTTTTGTGATAACATTTTTGAATTATCTTTCAATTAACTAGAGAGAGATGTCTGTGTTTTTCTGATTTTTTGACCATAATTCACCCTAATTACATCATGAATAAACATTTTATGTGTTGCCTGATAGAGACAGCACCTGTGTTTAAACATGTAATTGTTATAATTATTTATCTGGGATAGAGTTGCCAAGATGAATAATGTTCATGTTTAAATATATTAATGCTTTGGTTAATGTATAATGGTATGTAATAATATCTGTTATTTTATCACCCATGATGAGACAAAGGCGAAGATGAAACTCTGTCAGGGTTCTGATTACTGACCATTTTCACTTTCCTTAACTAGGTCATTAGTTTAAGCCTGAGGTGGTAGAAACAAGCATACAAAAATAACAGAATTTGCTCTAGTTTTTCTATTGATTAGTGTGTCATTCATTATCACAGGTAGACTGTCCAAAGCACACCAAGATAGAAAGGACGAGGAGAGGAGGAAACAAGACAAAGATAGGAGTGAAGACAGAGATAATTCAGATGGGTATAGACACAAAGACAGAGAGAGTGATCGGCACAACAGAGATAGACACAGAGACAGTTATGACAGGCAGACCGATAAATACACACACAGAGATAGAAGGAAAGAAGATGAACCAGATTCAAAAAAAAAGAAATACAAAGATGAAAGGTACTGATATTTCAGTCACATATGGCTTTTTCATCACTCTTGGCAATGTAAGATTTTAGAACTTTTTTTGAATAGAAAAATCAAATGTGACAATACAAATTAAACATGGCTGACAGAATATTACTGGTATTCTTATTTGAAACTTATATAGCACCATAATTCCAGATAAAGTTGATACCAAGGTACTTTTAGGTAGTACCTTTGGGCAGATCATTGTATTACTCTTCAGGAAATCTTGATGACTGAAATAGAATTCAGTTTGAGATTAACTATCATCATAACTTGAATAATGATTCTAATAAAAAATATTCTTTAAGCAGTATGGATCTCACAAGTTAATTAACAAACCCACTCATAATCTAGCAGAAGTGCTTGACCTCATATTAATAAATAGCAATATATAAATTTTTATGTTCTGTAAAATGCCTTATTTTTGCTTTTTTTGCTGGAGGGATGATTCAGTAAAAATAAAATCTAGCGAATATACCTTTTTTCCTATATTTTACATTCAACTCATCAAAAACCAGTGAAAATAAACCCAATACAAAACACCCAAAAAGTCTCTTCATTGAAAATGAATTCATGAGCTCAGGAACAATGATCAAAACAGTGTTCTGATAATCAAGTTTGCGAACCAATCAGTTGGAAGCATTATGGAAGGTGAACTTGGCCGCAAATATAGAAATTGTACAAAAATAGGCCTGGGTATTTAAACGAACATGGGGCACTAAGTCAGTCAGATTCAGTACTTTTCATACCACTTCAATCCTTTGTTGCTGATAACCTTTCATACCTTCTTGTTTCAGATATACTACAGCATCTTCTGATCTTAGTGACCAAGTATACTGGTTGCGTCCAGATTTAAGAGTTAGAATTATTGATAAAAGATACAAGAAAGGCAGATATTATAATAGCAAAGTATCTGTAGTAGATGTTGTTACTCATGATATGTGTTCATGTAGAACAGAAGATGGCAAACTACTTGAAGGTATAATATTTAATACTGCCCAGTGTATATCAGTGACTACCAATCTATTTTGATAAAATTGAAAATGCTTATAGACATGTTGATTTACTGTAATGCTTAAATCTACAATTTGATATATATATATGTATATTTTATTTCATAGAATTAAAGCAAGACATGTTGGAAACGCTTATACCCAAGTCTCAACCAGGTTATATTATGGTTGTGAATGGAAAATACAAAGGACAGGTAGGCATTTCAAATTATTTATGTATTTAAAGTTATTGCAGCTAGATGACATGCCCCCCAATAACATGGTAATAATTATAAACCACACTTTGAACATTATGAGGTTTGACAGCTGCCCACTAACATTGAATCCCTGGTAGATTAAAGAACAAGGTGTTGAGATTGGAGTTGCGAGTTTAAATTTAACTAGGAGTGTTTCTTGTAGTACCATTGCTTCAAAATTTGGTATTTTCTATAAATATAAAACAGGTTGACAAGAGTCCTGACTTTTTACTAGATTGTGGATGAGCTTGTTGATAATATTAAGATACTACCCTGCACTAGGTCAATTGGTCAAAGAATTTCACATAACAAATAGTTAGATCACATGCAGTGTTGTAATTGCTGTTACTGTTGAGTGTTTTATTAGTCTTTTATCACTGTATTCAATCACATTAGTGTTCAGTCAAGCATCCCTCTCCCCCTTCAAAATCATAAATTCTGAGTTGTGGTCACTGGCCATTACCGTAACACATTCAAGATTTAGACATGCTTTTCCTGCAAATGTCATAGTTTAGTATATACAAAAATCCATGGTATTTTGTTGGCAAATGTCAGCTATAGTGAATGTTTGACTGGTTTTCATTAACCATTGATGTGTTTCATGTCTTGTAAACTTGTCGATTATCAACTGAGAGGCATTTATTACAAATTCAGCCCTAATATAGGTGTGCACTCACACAAGGAGGACATTTGCGCTCCTAACGTCGGGTAGTGATATGACAGAATGCCATGACATTTATGGGGTTTGTTATTTTCAAGAGTAATGCAGTGTATCCTGCGACCATGGATACACCATATCATGATAATTCTTGATATTGGCCTTAGAAGAGGTCAATAACTGAAATATATTCCTGACTGTAACAGTGATTTTTTTAAACAAGGGAACAGGGATGCAGCGCCCTCATGCCATGGCCATATGCCCCCTTACCCTGCGGAGCAGATCCTCTGGCAACCATAAAATTCTGATTGACCAGGGATCACATGTGGCCACTGTCTTCAACTGTGACCTGTCTGATAGTAATTTTGGCCCCAAGGAAGCCATAGAATGCTCCATTTTAACTGAGAATTATCAAAAACTCCACACCCTGGTAGGGAGAAACCCTGCTTGGTGGCGCCGCTGAATTGCAGTGCTCCCTCTTGCAGTTTTTTTCTAGAAAAAACCCCTGCTGTAATGTATTCCTCAAGTTACAGTACAGTATGAATCAGAAATTACTGTCTACTTCATCATTTTTTCGTTTATTGTTTTTCAGTTGGGGACTGTGATAGACAAAGATAAATCAAACTGTATTGCACATGTGGAGTTATTAATAGATCGGACTAAGATAAGAAAACTGTCATATGATTCAATATGTGAATATATTGGTAATATACAGGAAGAACAAGACTACTGAAGATAACATCATGACAACACACTGCCTCATAACGTATACCAAGAATAGTTATAAGTACTCTGTGTAAACAAGTACTTATGTCAGACAACCTTTGGCTGAGTAGAAGCGACTGTTTGGAGCCAGTTCATAATCAATTACTCAATTCAAATCAAATACATGCATGGTATTTATTAGCCCCTGATAAATGCATTCAGGGGGCTTATGAATAGAGTTCCATTTGTCCAACCAACAAGGATTTTCTCAGATGTTCATGGGTCAAATTTTTCCAAATATAATACATAGTAATTGATAAATAATTGTAATAAGAACCATATACATGTATATGTTGATAGTTCATTTGTCATGTCTGTACAACAAGAGAGGTGACTGTGATATTCTCAATGACTGTACTCAGTGAATAATGTGAATTGATATTAAGAATACTGCTAAGAATATGCAGACTGTCATAGTCCAGTATGTATAGTAGTGGAAGTTTATACAACTAAGAGTAATAATGTCTTCTGGCTTAATACCATTTTAATATTCATTTTGTAAAATTCCAAAATCAGGTGTGAACCTGCTTCATTCATAACTCTTTTCCATTCACTTATCTCAAGGCAGTTCTTTCATATAGTGTGTTTTCATGTGTCACCTTAAAATACAACAGTGACAATTTCAGCTGATTTATCTTTCTCTATATATTTATCTTTCTCTGATACATCAGATGAGTTTTATAGATGTAATTTATTCTTTTTTTTTTTTTCTGCCTAGATTTCAGTAACAACCTCAAGTGTTACTGTTTGTAAATGGATTTGTTCATTAAGTGAAATGCTAAAAAGAGGGTTTTATTTTGTATTTATAAAAACAGCTGTATTTGGTATTTTTATAAAAATATTAATCTAATCTGATCTGAGAAATGTTTGTCATCATTTATTAATCCTATTTCCTCAGACAATACAGAAAATACAGATAGAATTTTAATGAATTTTTGTACTGTGGATCGTTTTAACTTCAATTTTAGAGAGACGCACAGTCAGCTGGCATATACCCGGTACTAAAATAAATGCATTTATAATTTACAGATATTTACTATACTTGTGGGGTGGAGCATTTTCTTGGCATTTTCACCATTGGCAACCATCACGGTAAAAACAAGATGTTGAAAACTGTACTTTGGGGTAGTTGTTGAGACTGAACAGTGAAACAAGATTACTCCTACATGTACAACGTATAACAAATTTGGCAGCTCAGTATTACTCAGTTGAGTTACTTTATGACTGCATGCTTACCTATGCAATATCTGGATATTACACTGCCATAAACCATCATGTCTTGTTTTAGAGACCTTAACTCGTATAAACATTAGAAAATACAAATTTGGAAGTACCTGTACTAGAAGCAGGGCCACTGGGAAGGAGAACATTCTACGCTAAGACGTACACTACAGTACAATGTATTCTGCACGAGCTGCTGTGGAGCACCACTGAAAGCAGCTGAAGTCAAGGAAACAGCACAATTGGATGTAATGCAAGTTTGCCATGTTTGGCAGTCACAGCAATGCACCAAATTCCTGTGATTGGTGGGTTCTACTGGAGCCAATCTTAACACCCTAGGAGCTTTATCCAAAAATAATTATTACCGGTACCAGTACTAAAATAATGTGAACGAGATAATGCTGATAAAAGCCTTGAGATGTTTGAATTCTATGAAATAGCTGTGACATACCAGGCAGCATTTCAGCTACATCTATTGAAAAAATGCCCATGAAATTCTGTAAACCTGTTCGAAACTAAAAAAACTAACCTATATTTGCTGTCAGTTCAGCTGCAACGGCTGGGGCCGTAACTTAGCTGATAACAAAGTGTAATTTCTTAGTGATGCAATCAGAAGTTTTGAGTGAAACAAAATCTCATTCTGTTGAATGGTGATGTAAAATTGTCAGTCATTGACGGCAAATTAAATCATTTTTTTTCGTTTTGCTAGAGGTCCATAGGGATCGTATGAATGGACTTTTAAATTAAATTATTTATTGTTTAATTCGGATTGTAGCAATTTGTGTAAACGAATGACATGCTATGTGGCCACAGAGGGCGCACCGACTGAAATTTCAAATATTAATGCAACCAGGTGGCGCTGTGTACTGCTTTCGAAGACTACCATTATCAGCCGAAAAAATACTGTCTATGGTTGAACTATGTCCGTTAAATAGATGACCGGCAGACGTTTTATTTCAACAGGTAAATACTGCCCTCTCTACATAAAATTGTCAACACATTTTCACAAGAAAAAGGTTCGAAATATAATTTTGAAAAAAAAAAAACATCGTGTCGGCTACTCCGCAAATTGGTAGGAGGCGGGCCACTCATTCACAAATTGAATGTCAAACTTGCTGTGCGTTCCACATTTACGTGTATTTGACGTACAAGATAAGCAATTACTACGTATTAAGAAATTGAAGCATGAGAACTGTGGTAAAATACGTACAAAATCCTCGCCAGTTTCGACAACAAAATATGAGTGATGGTATTCTCGCCGAAATCATTTCTAAACAATGTATTATAAAAAATGTACGTGTTCATTTGAAAAAAAAAATGAACGCGCAATGTTCTCGAACTGTAAAGTAAATTAGTCATTCCTGTTTCACCAAGCTGTCCTCAGGCTGTATGCAACTTACTGATGTACATCCATTACAATGTACTGTGAATTTCATGAAGGTGTGAATTTGTTTTATAAAATGTTTGAATACAATTAGAATTAGACCAATCACAACATGTGCATGGACAACAACCCAAGTATCTATTTTAGATTTGAATGAAGCATGAGCATCTTCTTCGGTAATTGTTTTGTAAATATTTCAATAAAAGCAATTCATGTCGTCATGGAATTCATAGTAAGTGGTAATACTATATTGTTTATACCTAAAAATGCTTGATGAATGTGCAAGAGAACCAAGTTTCTCCAGTCCCTTGCTGTAAGGCAGCTTGCTGGGTGCCCGGGGTGGAATCACAGTAGCATGGCGACAAGGGGCTGGAATTGAGTCTAGGTAACAACAGCACTGCAGGCACTAATTTAAATAATTTATTTGACTTTTCAGCAGGTTAGGTTTTTCATTAGTATCTAAAAATGCTAAATAAAAATCTGGGTCTCAATTTGAAGGTGGTATACAAATTATACAAGTCTGTATCTATTTTCTCAGTTCTTGTATGAGTAATGTCACCCGATATTACTGTTGCATCGTAGAATATGTCCTCTGATCATGGTTCTAATCATGCATAGTGCGTCTGCACTAATATTATATTCAGATATTGACAACAATATTTTCAGTCTCGGTATTGAGTTCCAATTCCATGTATTTATAATCCTTGTTCAATTAGTCTGCCTGATGAACTGCTATCAGCAACAGTGGAGATGTTTTCATATGCAACATGATTAGTAATAATAATAATAATAACTTTATTACGCAGCTTAACCATCTGTGGGCTCAGTAAGGTAAACAATTATTACACAAGACAAATAAAATAAGACACACTAAAACACTAAATTAAAATACACTGAAATTCAACATAGAAAGAAATAAAAATTAGAAAATCTCTGAAAAATTGATTAAACAGCAGCAAGGTTCTCCCAGACCACAGTTACATATTTAACTTTGGAAAATTGTATTTTTTAAATAATATGATAAAGCCATATTATTTCCCATTATTTTCACGAAGCTTTCCATTCTGGACAACTCATTAATTTTTATTTTAAAATGCTTCAAGACATGTTTTCTCTCTACTTCATAGAAATTGCAATCTAAGATGAAATGCATTTCATCTTCAATTTGATCTGAATTACATTTTTTGCAAGTTCTTTCATTTTCTGGGGTTTTTGGTTTACTCTTTCTTCCCAATTCAATTCCAAGGTTGTGGTCACTGAGTCTGGACTTTGCTAAAACTCTACGTTGGCTGAAGTTTTTCAGGTCATTTAGATAGTTTTCCAATTCAAAATTTTGTTTAAATATACTATACATTGTATGTTCTAAGTTTGTTCCCCTTTTTTTTATTTAATTGTTTTCTCTATGATTGAATAGATTCATTTGTTTTTACAACATTGGTTAGTTGATTAATATTGTTGATCTTATAAGTTTCTTTTATTTTAGACAAGTTTTTTTCTCCAAAAATTGTTTTTATTTGAGTAATCCAGGCAGAATTATTTTGTATTTCCTTTAATGCACATTTTAATATGTGATTTTCAGGAAGCAAATTTATTCTGTACCAGTATTTAACCTTTGAAACCATTGCATTTATTCTTACTGGTAATCTACCTAGTTCACCCCTTATACCAACTGATGGTGTAAATTTACTAACACCAAGAATAAAATGATAACAATTATTACAAACTTGGTCTAGGTTATTTGTGTCATTTGTTAGTTCACCTGCCCAAATATCTGACCCATACATTAGAATGGATGTAACCAACTGATCAAATAATTTTAAACACAATGAAGTTGAAATCATTTTATGACTCAGTATAGTTTGTCTAATGGCAAATAATGTCTTCATTGCTTTATTTTTTAGCATACCATGGTTTGTTTTAAATTTTCCATTTGTAGTGAATATCAACATGATTAATCTTAAATCAACCAGTGTTTCTGAATCATGATGGTTGTAGTATGATTCCATACTTTCACAATGTATTAGTTCCTTGTCTTCTAGAAGGAGATTTTAAAAGATAGGTCTTAACTATTTCGTAGCATAAAAATGATTTGCTTCCTTGCTTGTTGTGACACCCTCAAATCAACTGATTTCCATTCCGCTCAAGAGTCAACAATGGTATATGCCTCTATTTTATGCCACGGCTCGAAACAGTCTTTCTTGCTTGACATGTTCATTTGCCTTCAGTTGAAAACAGCAACCATCTTTATGTAAAAAAAAGTAGAACCTGAACTGGCTTTGTAGTGTATAGCCTCACTATGAAAATGCAATTTTTAAATTACACGAGACATGGTTTAGGGTTTAATTGTCCATATAGCAAAATAGGGTTTGGCCTGTTTGTCATTTGCTATTGACAAACTGTACCATACTGAGCTTTCCATTCAAAACTGCTCTACTTATGGTGACCACAATATATTTGAAGGTAATATCTTGTTGCCATGATTTTAGTCACTGTTGCAGATAACTGGGAGGTAGTATTGCAACTGAGACAGATAATACATGCATTGATTTACTGTATGAAGAAGTCATGCAGATGCTAATTACGGGATTTAATAGAACGACCATTTGCAGTAACATTTCCATTATATCAAACCACTTATTTTGAATGCTCATCCCTCGTTAACTTTTTACATGTAAGATCACAAATCATGTCTTTCTTTCTTGAGCTGAGTGCTGTGTCAGTAGTATTGTGAATTCTCATTCTATTTAACAATGATTCACACTTAGTCTTGGGAGACCCGTTACTGCTGGTAATTAAACTGAATTACCAAAGTGTTTTGTAGTGGGATTAAAGAGAATGTAGTCATTTTGATTTTATTAGTAGTTAGTAGCCATTTTGATTATCAGTGTGTCATAATCTAGTGAATTAAGTTGAGGCTATGACTTGCATATTGAGTTGGTTACATGTCATGACGTAT